ATTGAGACATTGACACCTTTCAATCAGGTGCATGGCCAGGTCACCAGGTTAGTGACTTCCATATATTCCTTATACAGCACTATTAGATTGCTGACTACCCTTTAAACAGATCCTCAGAGGGTCTGAGAGCTGTTTATGATGGCGGTCATGCTCTGAGTCTCTTACTTCTAATTAGATCTGGGGGCAACATGGCGACCCGTCACACCCCAGTTTAAGGAAAATACTAACGCTAATAAGCTTGGGGTGTCTTTACTTAATTTATTTAAACCAACATAACTGACGATCCAACGGGAACTTACCCTTAAATAATCTGGTCTCTTCTCGGGACCATTCCTATTTTATTTTTGTAAATAAGGTTTTTAAAAATCAAATAAGTTCATAATATTCATAATATTCAGTTCATAGTTCATAATATTTTCTTTTAAGAGACAGTAGACATTCTTACTGTAATGGATCCTTTGCCAGCTTGCTTCCCATTGGCTAAGATCAGGGGTCTGTGAAGTTTCTTATTGGACACAATCTATTGGATCAGGACAACAATTATTTATTTTTGAAATTGAGCAAAAATCCACTTTAAAATACAGTCTGCATCTAATTGTAAGAATAAATTCCATCTAGTTCAGTTTATCCTATCCCTTCTTCTCTAGACTATACCTGTAGTTATAAAGAATATACTTCAAACCAAAGAAGAAGAAATCATTCAGTACCACTCCCAGTGTGCAAACAAATGCTCCCAGGAAGTCGTGCTCGTCGAGCTGTGTGGCACACTTGTCTTCATCGAACATGGCAAAGCGAAGTTTCTGGATTTCTTCAAAGTGGTAGTCCACCTGGAACTTCACCCCAAACACTGGATTCAAGTTGTTCACAGCTGTTTCAGTGCGTCCCAGCTAAAGGTCAAGAAACAAGGAGAGAAAAATGCTGTAAAAATTAAATAATTCCAGTATTGTCCCTTTTAACGATTCACAAGCGTGTCATAGTCCTGGTCCTGAACTATCGAGCTCTGTCCAGCGCTTGTTTTTAATTGATCATGACCTAGGTTATTCCTTCCTCAACAGAATGCTCTTGTGTCCTGTTGTCAGGTCTTCATCTCTCTGCTAAGTTGGTTTCTATTTTATTTTGGCAGTCCTCTGTGTTTTATCCTTAGTTTTACTTCCTTTGTTTTGTTATACCTCATTAGCCTCACCTCTTGTACCCAGTTGTTCCCTGTTATCCTGATTAGTCTTAGTGTGTCAGTTTGTGGAAAGAGCTTTGGTTGTCCTTTGTTGTGATATCTGTTATGATTTCCTGTGTGTCCTCTACCAGTTCGAGTCTTGAGTTTGGACCTTTTTTCCTTGTTCCTGTGTTTTGGATTGCTTTCTACCACCATTAACAAAGAGCTTTTTTTAATCCTGCCTGTAGAGTCTGGTTTTGTGTAGACACTACATTACCAAAATAGCTGCTCACCTGCATCTAACAGTCTCAAAGTCACCACAAAATCTAAGCTCCGTCCCTTCCAGCAAAACACAAGTGGCTACTTTTTCCTGAAGACTTGAATGCCAAAATAATAGGTTAAAGTAACTGTGACTCTTCTGTTGTGGAAAACTGCAAGACTGGGTAGTCTCTGCAATCTTGCAACATGTGGCAATTTATACGGAAGGTTTGTAAATTCTTAATGAAAGCTTAAAAGACTAAAAATAAATGACTAGAAACATAATAATGAATTGAATTATTAGTATGAATACATGTAAATACTATCATACATAATCATCAATTTAACTTTTGAGTATTTAGTTGCAAAAGTTTAAATTATTAAAATGAAAATTAAAATTGGATTTTATATTGGAATTTTACAAAGCTGCAAAAAACAAACAAGTTTTTATATAGTATAAAAATATTACTGTTTGTGTTTACAAAAAGCAAAGCATGTACATGCATACAGTATGCAATTTAATAAAGTGATACTGATATGTATCTGGCAACTGTAACGCACCAAACGACTGTAAAATAGTTTGAGTCGCTACATATGCGTGTCTGTGTTTCTCCAATCTTTTTTACTCTAGAGATTCCAAGGGAATGATGTGTAGTCTTAACATTAGTTTTGACACACACTTCTCTAAAAACATTTAATACTGAATGCATTAAACAAGAATCAGCCTCGGGCAACTCTTCAGCATCCCTGATTGTGACACCAGCATGTCGTAAAGTCTGTGGCGCCCACTCGAAGCCAGGATTCCCCCCGATAACAAGATGCAGCTAAAAAAACAAAACAAACTTGGCCAGTGATGATCAAATCTGTGGGAGTGTGTTAGACAGAGACCCAACAATGTGCCATCCCCAGAATTACTATAGATTCCTATAAATATTATACCTTTGTCTGACGTTGGGTTGATAAAGAACAGCAGATTTATCGGAACTTTTAAAGTAGCCTGCTGCGGTGGTTTGTAGTAAATGTATCCTTAAACCAAAACAAAGTCCTAAAAAGCTGCAGCCGTCTGACAGCACTTTATCCAATTTAAGGGCCCTTTCCCCTAAAGCCATTGTTTTTGATGTTTCTCAATGCGCTGTGTTCTCATGGCCCCAGAGAGCAGTCCAGACAGCAGACAGATAAGAGGGTGTGGGTGCCTGAAAAGAGTGCTGTGAGAGTCATGTTCTTTGCTCTGACTCTTCTAAACCAGGTAGTTGACTGGCTCATCCCACTACTCTCCAGCCTGACTCACCCACGACACGTACAATCATTAAACGAGGTCACATATACTCAGCCTGTCACCACTGAATATAAAAGGCCTTAAAAAAGTTCAGCTCATTCCTATAACGGAGACGGGAGGGATGAAATGCAAACCACTTATAAAAATGCATCTAACCCTCTGCAGGTTCAGAAGGAAAGGAACAACCACTGGATGTCTAGAATTTCAATCTGGAGAATTTAAATTAAACTAACTGAACTTTGATACACACCAAAAAAGTGAAATTCTTTTTGAAAGGAAAACTCTTGTTGATGATCTCCAAACCTATGGGACCTTTGGTGTCAAACACAAAGCCCAGGGGCCAAAATCAGCCTCCAATAACTCCAATCTGTCTCACTGAACGGATTTTGAAAATGTGAAGGAGGGCGTAAATTTTACACTTGTGCAGTAGATGTATTTTCATAGGCTAATCTGTTCAATAATTGTATGCTGTTGTAATGCTGCTCCTTTGACATAAAGAGTCAGATACCATCACATATTTGATTTGGCAGTTTTAAACCAGATACCCCTCCTCATACAACCCCAAAGGGGATTTGTGTCTCTAGCTGGAACTCAAACAGTGACCTTTAGTTTGCCAAGCAAATATGTCAACCATCAAACTATGGAGCCATCACTATTGCCCTATAGTGTCTAAGACCAGCCAAACATCGAACAGTTTTTTTCTTGAGCCCATTTCCCAACATCTAACACTTTTATTCATAGTAACATTTACTGAAGGCACATCTAGACAGTTTATTAACCTCAAACGAATCTCCAATTCTGCAGAATCCTGGTATATTTTCTATTCACCAGTCTTTACTCAAAAACCCCTGCAGCAAACAGCAGTACCGCCATCTATTACTTAGCTGTTCTTATGCAATTACACCTTCTTCTTTCATCTTTATTTCCTGCAACAGTTGTAGAGAAATGAATTCCTTGATCCTGACGGGTCCCAGTGGTTGCATACGATCTTCCAATGTTCATATATATTGTATATACTCCTTTCACTATTCTTGTTTGCTATTTATTCCTGATGTCTTTACTATTTACATTTTATTTATATTTATATTTTATTTTAATTCTGTCCAGTACATGTACAATGACAATAAAGGGCTATTCTATTCTATTCTATTCTATTCTATAAAATGTACCTTTCTCGTGCTACTGTGAATGCTTTTATCTAAGATACATTTCTCTCTGACTGTAGGTAATGATATTAGCACAGAACTGAGATACTCCAGCAGGAAAAAGGTTTTAACTTCACCCTGCTACCGGTGCTTGCAGCACTTATCCATCTGTCTGACTCATGGGAAGGGAGCAGTGGAGAATGGCTGCACTTCGTAGCTTAAAAACTCAAATTATTGGGACATCACAGCACGCCAGCAGGCTAAAATCTCATAGCAGTGCCTCTGTGGATTTGATCCTGGTTCACTGAGCTTTAGAAATGAATCAGATCCCTCTGGCGCTTCATGCCTCCTTTCGTTTCTTATCTGTTTATGTTTACTACTAGATAAAAAAGAAAAACAACAATACAGGTCACTGAGATTACTTCAGATAGAGGCACTGCCCGCTGCAGGAAAAATTAAGCTGTAGAACTGCAGCTGGAAGAAACAGGTGCAGGAAGAAAAGTACAGGTACTGATAGGGTTATGATAGATAAATAAATAGACTTTTAACAAAACAAATGCAATGGATGTGCATCCCGCAGCTTAATTTATAGTGAGTTAAAGGAATTTAGAAGCAATCTGTTATAAGTGTTCGTGCCTTAGATTTGAGCGGACACTTTTATTTTTTTCATTCAGCAGACAGGGAGAACCTCCCCCAACAACCCGCAGCCCAAAACATAACAAGGACACTTCAGCCCAACAGCTCAATACCAAGATGTTGAATCAATGAAACAAACCAAAGCGGCTCTAAAGACATCGGTGATGATGTTGCTAATAAATAATCACTAGGACCAGCCTACAGCACCAAAACAATCTCTGCTAAACACTGACAACTGGCAGGTGCAAAAATGTACCAGTGAAAGTGTGCTTTGGCTTTACAGTTTAAATTTAATGTGTTATAACCATAAAAAATGCAACACAGTGGCTGTCAGCAAAAGTTACTTATTTAGTCATCAGCTACAACAATTTTAATATAATTTGTGTCTTCTTTGTGTCCCGAATCATGTCCAAAGTTCACTTTCCTTTAAGCTTCAGTCTATTTACCACCATTTACTGAGGCTTCTAAATATCCCGTGTTTATTGTGCACTCACTAACTTTGTTGTATGTTATGGGTTACTGAGCTGAAAGTCTGAGTTTTCAGTGTCTCTTTGAACATGGATTGATCACCATGGTAACTTGTGCTTACTGCATAACCCGATCTGCAGCAGATTATGTTCAGCTTCAGTTTAAAATAGTCTGGCGCACAACATTTTCAGTCATTCAGTCTATTTACAGATGATACGAAGGAGCCTTTACCGCCACTGAAATAATATTCTAGCAATGAGTGTTTTCATGTTATGCAAAAGAGAAAAAAAAAGAAAAAAATCTAATTTTCTGCTCTTACTTTTGATATGTGTAATTACATATCAAATATTCTGGGGAGTTCTTAATCATTTACGAGTGGAAAATTCAAAACAATACTCCGGTGTGGAAAGTTTTAAACCTAATATTAATCATACACTTGTATGAACTGACTGTCCGTTTGCTGGATTTCTATTCTTCTGATCGAACAGCTAAATTTAAATTACTGGAAACTTGGAACTCTGGGGACTAATCGTAGAGCTTTGAAGTTGTGATAAATGTAGAGGTGTGTTTATTTTTTAAGACACATTTTTAATATTCTTATAACGTATTTAAAGATGAAAATTACTACAAAATGTCAGTTATATGGGGCTTAATGTGAACCATGCATAGGCCAGTTTACATTGGAATGAATTATAACAAAACTTACTGTTGAGTATCATTTAGTATCACAAATGTAGATCTAATAAATAAGGCTGCATTTACTGCAGAGGACTGTTAGATTTTTAAACCCTCTGGTTTGAATATGCCACTGCCTGTGAGTTCTCACTTACAGTGTTACAGGCTTATATCTGGGTTTATAACACGTGTTGAGATTAGTATTGGGATTTGGAAGCTCGGAGAAAAAAAATCCTTGGATTTAGAAAATAGCCTCGGTAGTGTGATACTTGGGCGCCACATCATTTACATAGCTGAGATCCATATTTCTGTAGACCTATCACATTCTTCAAAGACTTTCTAACACTAACTTTGGCTGCTATCTCCCATTTATGGCTACAGTCATTCACTTTCTTTTGCCTTCTTCTTGTTCTGTCGCTCATTCATGTCATCACCTCGCTGTCTTTCTCTCCTCCTCCTCCTCCTCCTCCTGTCTTTCTCTAGATAATTTCCCCCTCGCCTTCTGCTGCACCCTTTTCTCATCTCCCTCTCTCGCACCTCCTCGTTCTCACACTCTTACCCTTTCGTACCCACTTTTTCTCTCTTTCCCCTCCCCGATGGACCCAGCTGCTTCTCACACCTCTAGCTCACAAGACAGACGAAGATAGACAAGAGACTGAGACACGGAGACCTAGAGAGGGGAAGGCTGGCGACAGGAACGAGAAAGACAATCAGAGAAAAAAACTGAAAGGAACAGGAGGAGATCAGAGAAGTGAGAAAGCTGAGCGTGAGTAAAACAGCGAGCTGTGGATAATATCCGCGAAAAGGTTCGGGCCTCATTTCGCCTCCTCCATCGTTGCCTCACTCTAGGAGCACTAAGCTTTTGTTTCCCTTCCCGTTGCTATGGTAACTGTTGGCAATTTCACATCGGAGCCACATGCCCTGCTGACCGACAGCTAGCTGCAACCCGAGGCACTCGCCTACACACACACACACACACACACACACACACACACACACAGGCACACATACACAAAAAACCCAGATTGCTCTGTTGACCAGCTGTTAGCTGCAGAAGATTCGAAGGAGGAGCCTGCACACACCAAAGCTTCATCACCGTCTTCCTCTTGAGCATCTTCAACTTGTTTCCTCAGTGGGTCTACATGGATAGACCATGTATGATCAGGACACATGACAGCCACTTCCTAGCAGTGAATGCACAAAATATTAACAGTGCTGTCCCGACATAATACGGACTTTGAGCAAGTGGGCTGGTAGTTTAAACGTCATCAAATGTCCGTTCCAACTGCGACGGTCAGTCGTCTCCATCACATGCACCGCGTTTCTGGAAATCTTCAAAACAGATGTTTGCTAAGCTGCTCTGTTTAGAAATATAGTAGCTGGCAATGATTCTGCCTATTGATTTTCGCGAGCAGTGTGCTGGAGTCTTGAAAATGGCCTCATGATTATTACCATCTTCTCATGTTGGACCTCTGCACCGACGCTTCAAACCTGACTCAAGCTCACAGCAACAGTCGACGTGCACTGTGTACTTTTACTGTGCCTCAAGTGCGCTTAAAGTGAATTAGTAATGGCAAAAAGATGACTTCACAAAGCTGGATGAAGCGTTTGAAGACCTGTTAATATAAATTAACCCAAGAAAAATACATAATTACTATGAACTGAGAACTATATAAAAATAGCTAACAAACAGCAAAACCAACTGACCAAGATCTGATACAAACTGGAATTTAGCAACAGAGTTGCTGCACTTCAACCTATTACCCCAGTTGTTGCTATTTGCAGGAAACAACCCAAAGGAGCCAGGCTTGCCCTAATCACAATCATACTACTGTTCTAATAATGCTCTCCTAGCATTTTGTTTGCCTTAGCAAACCATCTCAATGAGCTTTTGGGAAAACGTATTTACACATATTTGTACCATTAACTCCTTCCCCTCATTCAGCGGGGCACTTTATACTGCGGCAGATAAATTAAAGGTGCATCAAAGCTACTGAGCTAAGATCTGTTTCTTCTGCTTTGGACTCTCCAGCTGTCCATAAAGCCGAAGCAGAGAAGAAGAATTAGCAGCTGATTTCAAACCAGTAACTTTCTGCTTTGAGTCATGAGCACACATCAGTGAGAGCCTCTACTGACCAGAAAGGATTTCAGTACAGCTGTTGTTTACTTCTCTGTTAGTTTTCTTGTCAACGGTAAAAACCAACAACAACAAAAACGAAGGTATAATCACTCCTTTATGCTGTCTGGACCTGTGCTCTGGTTTAAAGAGAATAAAGTGACGTTTTATGCCATTCAACTAGACTTCAGTACCATCTTGTAATGGATACAAGGAACAGGTGAGTGAATGAGAGTCAACACAGTCAAAATGATTAAAACCACCTGAGTGGCTTTATCCCCGATGGGCATTTCTCATCACTGGTATGGACCACCAAGCCACTATACACATAGTTACCAGTTTCTGACTTATAAATGTCAAAAAAATAACACTAAAGGCCTTAAAATCCAATGAACAGCTAATGCAGCAGCCAAAGGCATTCGTTTTCCACTGCCTGTTCAATAAAGATACACGTAGCCACCATTATACCATGTGCTGGTTGGTAAAGGTCACAGTAAAGTCTCAACCTAAGCATTTTCAAAATCAATACCTCAGCTTTATGAAATCTGACTATGAAACTTAGGGCAGTGACTGACAAGTAGTTAGCCTGGCAAGGAGCAAAGGAGCTGATGGATGTTTTCCTGTAAATTTCTACACAACTGGATGTCATTAGAAAGAATGCTTCACTTTTTTACAGCTAAATGCTTTTCTAGTTAATTTTTGATTATCTCAAAGCATTTTTAATCCTCAACTTACCAGTTATTGAGTGTTAAAGTGAAGTAAGCTTGTCAAATTGTAAACATTTCTCTTATATTCTGTGAACACATTCCTTTTCCATTCCAGGCAATTCAAATGCAGCAACAGAAAGCCACACTTCTAATTGGAAATATGGCTTTCACTTCAGTTTAACCCTGCACCTTTAAGAGAAATGTCATCAGTAGCAGCTTTTGGTGTTTCCCCTTATTTGGTGCTTTTCCAAAGTTTAAATCAGAAAAAATTATTTGTTTAACATGATGATGCATCCTCGTGAAACCTGAGATTTTATGGCAATGATTTAAAAATGTCAAACATGTATTACTGACTCTCTTTCCGGTTTTTGTGCCTTTGCCCGAGTCTACACTACTTGTCTTAGATTGGAATGCCGCTCATAAATCTTGCAACATCCTATTGGGCTCAGCATGCCATGGCTGATGCCAGATGGTCAAGGCATCATGACTTTGGATCTGACTCACAACCTATAGGCTCTTCCTGCAGAGTATCATAGACTACAAACAAAACCTTCTGGTTCCCTTTCCTCGAGGAGCCAGCATGGTGGATGTAACCTTAAAAGCACTTCTTAGAATTATTCAAATTTTCCATCCTCCCCTCAATCTTTTTATTTCTGCACTTTAATCTTCTCTCTCCACCTCCCAGGAGTCGCTATACACAGTGTGAAGAAGCGCCAACATGGGTTTGACTACTTATGATCTTAACAGTAATATATCAACTCTCTGTTCGGCCTTTCCTCTTCAGTCTGCCATTCCATTCTCCATTGATTCTGCACCATTAAAACAAAACAATCCTCTCATTTCTCGTGTCATTTTCTGTAGTCTTTCTCATCACTTGTTCATAAAGGTGTGGGAAACAAATTTCCCACACGTGGGACTAATAAAGGTTATCTTATATCTTATAAAGGATGTATGTCTCTCCATCCTTTACTGTACCTCCACCCAGTTTCCATCCACTTCGTGGAAGAGAACGCAGAATGGATCCGACTTGGAGGCTACATCTCGATCGAGCAGGCTGGACGCGGTGACCGACAACTCCACCCGAGTGACACAGTGCTGAGGTCCGACACTGCGCTTCTGGCCATCAGTGGCCAAGCCCAGTGTGTAGGCCATGGTCACACCTGATCACCCTGAAGGAAAGCAAACAGGCAGAAGTAGGCAGAAAGACTTTTAGTTTCATACTTCTTGACACTTAACCAAATATGTCATCCCGTCGATTGACAAAAAAAAAGATAAAACAGAGCTGCTGTGATTATTAATAACAAATCTCAGCACATTCTCAGCTTGTGCAATGAGAATATGTGCAGTGATATCATGACAGTGAACTAAAACTCTCTGCATTACGTGCAGTTAGCTGGTGGAAACATTACACCTGAAGATGCTACCTTTGGCTCTGTGAAGTGGTGAGGGTTATTTTTTCACAGACTAAATGAATTTATCCTCTGCAGAGTACCATCATAGCAGAGCTGTTACAGCCTGCATCACAGCATAGGCGCACATTCACTCACATTCCTATAAACACCTTCTTCTGTACTTTTTTGCATAAGTGTTCACTCACTGTGTGATGGGAGCATCAGAGAGCAACCAAAGGATATCTGGCATATCAACCACCAACCTTTTGGTTTCTAGATGACCTGCTATACCTCCTGAGCTGCAGCCACCCGGAATAGAACATAGAAAATATATCATATGTTTAAAATGAGAAAATGTACTATTTTAAGACAGCATTAAGGTCATTATGAAATTGCTGACAGCAACACAACAGTGTATAAATGTCTGGGAACTGAGGAGACCTGCTGCTGGACTTTTGGGAGAGGCAAGCCATCCCATTTTTGTTTGATATAGGATTCTAGCTGCTCAGCAGCACTGGATCTCTGTTGTATGTTTTCTTTGCACTAAATTTTTCCAACAGCTAAATGGTCTGGACTGTAGGCAGGTCAGTTTAACACCCGAGCTCTTATACTGTGCTGTTGGAGTAGCTGTGGTTGGGCTTTATCTTGCTGAAATATGCAAGGCCTTGCCTGAAAAAGGGGTCGACTGGATGCGGCCATATGTTGATCTAAAACCTGTATACATCTTTCAGCATGGGCACATTGCTAACTCCATAGGCACTAATGCACCACCCTAACATACAAGATACAGGCTTTTGACTCGAGTTGGTCCAAGGTGCAAGCTTGATGATCCCTCTCCTCTTTGGTCCATGTTTTCCAAACAGAATTTCTGTGTTAACAGGCAGCGATTCCTGGAAGTGTTCCCGAGCCCTTTAGATGATTTCCATGACAGAATGGTGCCCACTTTAAATGCAGTACCAGAGGATTACAGGCATTAAATAATGTTTTCCAGACTTGTCCCTTGTGCACAGAGATTTCTCTAGATTCTCTTTTGATGATATTATGTACTGTAGGTGAGGAGATATCCAAAGTCTTTGTAGTTTTATATTGATTCTGAAAAATGCTGAAAATTGTTCCACAATTTGTGAAGATAGTTTTTTGCAGATTGTTGAACCTTGTCCCATCGTTACTTGTTCTTTTTATACCCCATCATCTTACTGACCTGTTGCCACTTAACCCAATTAGTCACAAAATGTTCCTCCAGCTGTTTCTTTTTAGTGCCACTTACTTTAACGGCCTTTTGTTTTTTTTTTAAATGTGTTGCTGCCATCCAATTCAAAGTCATCTTAAAATGACACATTTTCTCAGTTTAAACATTTGATATGTTTTCTACATGCAACTGTGAATAAAACATGTGTTTATGAGCTTAACACCGGTGAACACAGGTATATCTGATAAAACTAAGTTATGGTCCTGTTCTATTTAGCATGTTGATGCCATTCTTGTCAGTGAGCATACACAATGCCAGCACCTCATCCAAACGGAACAGAGCCATAATTAGAGTTATTAATTACACCTGTGTTTACCCTGAGCCAAAATGGCTGCTCAGTAAATGGACAATTAATTAGACCAAACTAAAACAGAGTGCAGGTACAGAAACTGGCTGAAACATTACCGAGGCTTAAAATGACAGAAACAGATGTGCAGAGATTTTCCTGTTAGGCTGTCATGAAAAAAAGATAAACAGCCAATATCAATATTATTCATAACCTATGGTCACCATCAGCTCAAAAGTGCCTGCCAGTGCCACGAAGAGTGAGTAAATAAATGTGCTACTCTCATGTAATGTAAATGTAAAACTGTAGGTTGCTGTTACATACACACAGATGGCTGGTGTCCAGGATAAACCGCAGTTTCCTTGACGTAACTCTAACAGACAAGCATGTGCATGTGCTCATCTTACGCTGTATCCAACCAAATCCTAAATTACTGGAGACACCGCTGAGGAGAGAACACGAGATGCTCCCAACACCCTGGGTGTCTGTATCTGTTGCCACGCAGAGAGCACAATTACAGAAATCAGTGTTTGACATTTGTCGAATGGAAATAACATTTTAATGTCACAGTTTGGTTTTTTTTTTTTTAAGTTGTTTGACATATGTGATATCTAACGAAATGAGTGGAAGTTTACCCAGATAACAGAATTAGTAAATCCCCATTACATCAGATCACCTTGAGAATTCGGCTTAATCACACAAATGGTTCTGTTTGGCTAAAAATACCCAATGAGTACAAATAAAACAACACTGGTGTAAAAAAAAATCCACTGGGGGCATTATGAGAGTCATAGTTACCCTGTGATAAACCCAATGATACCCAGGATTAAGCACTGCAAAGACACACACACACACAC